AACAAGTTAGTGAAGTTCAAAACTGCCTTCTTCTGGTGTCTTTTTAAGAAGTCATTCATTATGGTCTTTAGAAACAACCAAGAGTAAAGGAATGGATTTATCACGAATTGTCTGATATATGTTACAACCACATCGTTAATCGATGGTTTAGCCTTAACTCCACTCCATTATTGCACTGGCATATCAATACAGACAAACTCTACAAAGCATACACACTCCTCAAGCCAGAACAAAGAGAAACCATGATACAATAAAAAATCGCATGCCGCTTCCCAAATACAAAAAATTTTCGGGCAAGAAAATGGGAATCGTCAACAATTATCGCAAACAACACAAGCAACTTACCTTTGTGAATTGCGGCAATATGCCGTTGAAGACTTCCAGCACGCGAAAAGGACTTGTCACATTCCGAACATGCATATGGCTTCAGTCCTGAAACACGAGTACACAACACCAATCAAACACTCATCTTCCAACGCCGACTTTGCACACACCTCACCACAGCACTGCTCCTCCTATGCTGAATGACACCACAAACTGCCACATTCGAAAAAAACATAGTTGTGCACTTGACTTAGACCTACTATCATAACCAACATCCCTCACTACTCAACCCTGCTGACACAATTTCTCATTAAATATTATACTTATTACCATACACACAACCTTGAAGTTCCAGTGCAGTCAGTTGTCTCCAAACATCGAGAATATGCATTAAAGCTACCACTACAGAACTTCAATAACGCCATTTAGGCAACCACGTTTTATTGCCCAACACATAGGCATCAATTACCTACAATCACCAAAACATAGACACTACTGTAAAACACCATATTGCCGAAAACATTTTACATGCCTGATTGATGTTAGCATAGATTTCTCTGCTTAAACACACAATGTCTCAATACCTCCAACATACACAGTGCCACAGCAAACTCCATTACTCACCGACCGTCATTTCAGCATATGCGCAAGTGACAACCGCTTACATAGAACCAACATAGCTGACCGGTGCACAATTGCAACTTTCACGAATACCTCTCGACACTAAAAAATAAATTCCCTAAGGCGTTATAATCACCCCAGAAAGTTTTGAATAGAATAACAACAGTTTTCACATTGTGGTAAGTGGGAGCACATCTCTTTGCAGTGTTCCTGTAGGCCATTCAACATCTTTCCATCTGTCAACGCCGTCAACGTCATTGCCCCTCGTCAAACAAGCAGTCAGCAAACAATCATTCGTGGCAATGACTTCTTTGATCAAACATGCAAACAGGAGCGTGCATCATTTAGAGCCCTTCACGTTGCTCCACAATCTTACTTCATCCTTGTTCCCCCGATCTATCATTTCCGCAAGGGCTCTCAGACAATCCACATCGTCACCAACAACACGCCTCAGCACTTGTCAAACAAATTATAAACTTACTGAGTTGTCCATATTTGCGAGAAAATCAATTCGCACGATAGAGTGCGCATTACACACTTCGGACACTCAGATCACACTTTTGATATTGTCCAGTTCCTCACGTCACCAAATAAACTGGTTTCACATCACGACTTATGCTCAAATTTAAACACACGGCAGAAGCACATCTCACTTTCGCAACACTAACACAATCATATTACGAATTTAGGTACTTCTCTCACGCCGTAATACCTTAAAAACATTGCCTTTTCACTATTTACACAAGCCATTCAAACCCTCTCCGTGAAAACCAATTTACAGCATCTCTACCAATCCAAGTATACTACATCATTATGCACCTCTCCATAACAGTGACATGCATGCACACACACACTCACACACACATCCCACAGCAATATTATACGCTGGAAATTGCAAAACCACTGATGTCAGTTTTCTCATACAACAACTAATTCAACTACTCATGTTTTGCATCCCACCACTTCCACAAGAAATTCGTCAGCCTTCAACAAACCTGCAACAGAACGCTATGTATTGGCTAAACATCTGAGCAGAGACGCCAACCGATTTCCCTCGACTTAAGCCCACATACACATGCCTTCCCGTGACACCGATTCAAACTGCATTTTAATTCCCCTCATATTGTGAATTAGACTTTGCATTTGCTAAATGATTTTAAGAGCAACGCCTAATGAAGAAATATTAAAACAAATAACATCTTTAAGTACTACAAGCAGACAAATCCACAGACATGTTTTAACAGTGAGTGCCAAAACGGCAGCAAACAACGCAGTTCAGTAGCTACAAGGAAGTCAGCGCGCAGGAGTGGAATTAACGAGTATCAGTAGAGAGATTTAGAGTTGAGCTTCTTGCACGCACGAATTTAGATTTACCACCGTAATGTTAATTTCGATGTAAAAAGTATAGGTAAACAGCTCTTATAAACAACAACCATATTTACATCTCTGTAGGGTGGAAAATATGTGTTTTTTAAACGAACAATGCAGATTTGAGAGCAACATGGCGAGTCAAGGTACCTACCATTGTGAGTTTTCGAGTGCATTTCAAGGGTTGCTTTACTTTTAAATCTTTCGCTGCATTCCAGACACTTGTAGCGCCAGCAAGTAGAGTGTACTTTAAGATGAGATTGTAAAGCTGATCGCGAACCAAATACCTTGTCGCATTCACTACACTTCCTGTCTGCTGAAGGATCAACGGCCAGAGAAGAGGCTGGAGCAAAAAAACTATTTTTTGATCAAGTAGTACAACCATGGAAACAAAACTGTATTTCGTAAAAACTCAAGCATAACAGCAGCGTACTTCGGTGCATCAAAACAGTCTCTTAGTGAAAACAGCTAAACAGAAGGTGTTTGAAGGTTGAAGTTAAGAGAAAGCAGACAGCACCTACCATCTGGGCTTTTAGCTTCGGCAACCGGTTCGCTGAGAATTCCAAGTTCCTTGGCAAACTATAAACATTTACGGGTATAGCTACAGCAAAATAATAAGGCAACAAAAATTACATAAAATGCGAGAACCAACAGTGAGCGAACACGATTCCGCTCTTGCGTGCTGTGCTGCAGATCTCAACTGACTATCGCCAGGTCCCTTAACGTCTGACTGACTCGACGCCTAATTTTTGATCTCGTCCACCTCAGACGTCGAATGTACAATTAACTACTCCACACCGTCGACTGACCTTTCAGTGGAAGAATTGGTCCGAGGATTCCATTCGACTCGTTAGTCAAGCCAGTGTCCTCGACTTTGAGCACTTTTTGGCCTTCTATGACCTGGCAATTGGTGCTTTTCTGGTACGAACTAAATGGCGTGGTGATTCTGTGTCTCACGCCTTATGAAGTGGTCACCCTCAAGCCATTCTGCCATCCTTCGAATCTTAATGTGTGACCGTTATAACTCTAAATCGTCCAACTCTAAGTCCCGATTCTGTCCCGTCGATCAGCCTAGCTTTCATCCCATTCGCTCACCTTTGTCAGCCTGATTTCGTTCCCTAACTCTCGCCTTACTCAAACACGTTTCATCTTTGACCCTAATCACCGCCGGACGACGCCCAATTTCCAGTACCCTCCCATCCTCCAAACGGCGCTAAATCGATGGATGCTGCCTAATCTCTAGACGATACACTTCGAATCATCCACTGATCTGTCAGCAATAGCTAATCCCCACAACTATAATGCAGGAACCACGATTTGATAAACCTACGGTCAGCCTTACAGTTACTTTGATGTGAGAAAAGGTTGCGCCATCGACCTCCTCAAAATATTTAAACCACACGAAACTGTCGGCCTACCTTTCGGAATTCCTGTTGGAAGAAAGGTTTAGCCAAGTCTCTTTACCAAAGGGAAGAGCTATGGCGAGGACCAAGCGAACGCAGTTACCAACCGTGAGCGAACACGATTCAGCCGATTTACTTCAATGCATTTCACGCAACTATGGTCGTTCAGGGATCGATTTTCAGTAAGGCTATATATATAAACTGACTTCTTACTTTGCACACACACACACACACACACACACCACTACCACATCAACAAACTAGTTGAGGCGTGCGTTATCTGCATTCCTCCTCTTTGAACAACAAGGTTTTGAATTAGGCATAAATCAATGGGTTGTTGAAACGCAAATAAGAATGTACACAGGGAGCTAAGGACTACTAGAACGAATTTTGTTGCCTGAGACTCTACGGCAGATGATGGAGACGCGGCATTGCAACCCCACACATCGCATCCCGTTTCACCCATTTCTGTGTGAGCCATACTTACTAGTAGTGCGTTTTGACCACTTATCCAAGCCAATTGAAAAAAACGTTGACCACGTGCGACCAAAAATAAGTCTGTCATAGGATTCAGCAATAGGACCATCCTTAGCATTGCAAAATACTTTGGTTGGCTAGAGTGTTGGTATTTAACAAGATTTTGGCAGACAAATGGTGCTGAAACCTAATCCCAACAAGTGTCAACATTGCCTATGGAACGCAAACGCTTCACAATTATTGCAATCGAAGCTCTTAACAAGACGCCAACACAGGTGACTCAAATCGTGGATTGCAACGCGAATTAAATTAGGTAGATGAGCAACTACACACGGACCCCGCATGCATCATTTGGCAGATCGTAAAAGGAACATGGTGTGGAGTTCGGAGATAATTATTGTGATGGTTGCCAACTGGCTTATCTGTGACATGTTAATAGAACCACGGGAGTAAAAATCATTAAACTTGGGATACACGCAATATGAGAGCCAATAATTATGTCTTTTAAAGGCTCAACCTAGTAACTTGCTTCAAAAAAAACGGAAAAATGCCACATCACCACAATGCGAGATATTGATGGCTGACGTGATCCGGTTGCGACTTAATCTAGTCAAGAAATAATTTTGTGGGTTCAGTTACACGACTTTAGTGTGGAAAAGGTACGCTGACGAGTTTAAACCTAAATGAAAGTAGATACCACGCTGGTTTTGGACATCGTACAATACCACATTTCATTCGAAAACATAAAGAGCTTTTAAGGCGGAGGGACAAGAGGAACTGCTCACAGTGCTTATGACATCTAGCTAAAATAAAACACAGGCGGTAATCGTGGCCACGCTGCTTAGCATTGCTTACGACCGATAGTAGCTGAAACAATTTCCACCCGGCTATAACCGCGAGAACGCGGTGGATGCAAATAAGTAGGGCACGTACCTTATCACCGTAATATGTCAGAAGTTCGTAGTCTGGATCGATATTCTAGAAGAAACGTGGAGAGTGATGGGGCACTTACCTTGCAGGCGCGGTAGTATATTTTACCCCTGTACTGTATCGTGACCAAGTTCTGTTCCTCCTCGTGACGAGCGCAGTTGACAAACTGAAAATGTTTACAAGTATTTCATAAGTACTCGAAGTCTGCGTAGGAAAGCCAGAGCTAGAAAGGTTCACTACTTAGCAGTTAAAATCAGAGGCTTAATGAGTCGATTTAAGACACACAGAAGACTCCAAAGTTGCGTCGCTCTCAAGGAAAATCATTTTAATGGTAGAAAACCTTGTGGAACCGA